GGAGCCAGCCCCGGCACACACAGCACCGCGCCACGGCCATGCCGAGCCACGGCTGCACCGTCTGCAAGCCCATGTGCGCCAGCGTGTCGGCCCCAGCCCCCCAGAATCCGTACCCCAACGGGGTCCCCGTGCAGCAGCCACCCCGGCACACGGTGCATCTGCCTGATGTGCTATGACAGGCGAGCGGCCTGGGGGGAGGCTGGCTGTCCCTGTCCCTGTCCCCTGCCTGGGGAGACACACTGTCTTCTGACCTGGAAAGTGTCGGCAGGGGGCTGGCCAGGCGCGGGGACAGCTAGGGACGGTCCCAGTGCCAGCACAGACCCTCCTGCCTTGCTCCCTGCGGGTAGTTTTCTGCACTCCTCTGCGGGGTGCCCAGCGCGGGGGAGACCTGGGGACAGAGCCAGCAGTGCAGAGTGCCAACGTCCTCGCTGGGCAAGGACAGGGACAGGCAGGGCAGGCAGGGCCCCCCAGCCAGAGCCGTGCTTACAGCCCCCATGGGAAGCAGAGCCGGGCTGTGCTCAGTGCTGCGCAAATGCACGGGCAGAGCCGGGTCCTGCAGCCCAGCTGGTGCCAGAGACTGGGGGCAGCTGGTCGAGAGCCTTGCTCACCCAGCACCAGGGCGCTTGCTGGGGTGGTGGGGGGTGCCAGCTGCTAGTTTGGTGCCCATGCAGCAGCACCCCTCGGTTCCAGTGCTACCTAGACCCCGCACCCCACAGCAGCACCCAGTCCATGGCTGGCCCCGCTGCCCTTGCACCCTGTGCCAGGCGCAGGGAGGGCTCCCCGGCTCGGCACAGAGGTGCAAACATGCCCCCCCCCCGGGCAAGTCAAAGCAGGGACACATCCCCACGTTGGGCACTGGAGCTCAGCTCGGTGCCAGAGGCTCAGCCCCGGGGCCAAGCCACAGAGGAGATGACTGTCGGGGCGCAGGGACGAGGATGCAGGGCCCCCCAGCACAACCACCTGTGGCCGGCGTGGGCTCCCCTCCCCTGCCCGGCTGGCAAGGACAGCCTGGCCGGGCACAACCTGCTACTCTGCATTCCTGCGGTGCCGAGCCACCTGCCCTGGCACGGCGGCACTGAGCCAGGCTGCACCAAGCCTGGCTGAGCCGAGCTGAGCCACCCTCCGAACAGGCCCAAAACCACAGCGACGTTATCGCATGCCCCAGGCCCGGACGGAGGGCGGGAATCCAGGTGCCAGGGCTGACAGCCCCGCTCGTGACGTGCAATGCCCGGCCGCGGCCCCAGCTCCTCTCCCTCCCGGCGTAGGCAGCCCAGACGGGCTCGCTTTGGCACACTGGATCATCTCCTGCCTGGAGGCAGCTGCTCCACAGAGCCGTGCCGGGAGGTGTGCGGTTGTGCCTCCCCCTCACTGGGTGACCCAGCCCCATGCCGATGGCACGGGACCGGCATGGGACCGGCACCACCTTCGCCACCTACCTGGATTGGCCCTGCGATGTGGGAGCCTCCTTGGCAGGGGGCCCCTACACCCCACCCGCCACTCTGCACTCTGCTCACGTTTGTCCTGGGGGTGTCCCGGTGTCCCCACGCCTCCGCCTCCCTTACCTGGACTGGCCCTGCGATGTGGGAGCCTCCTTGGCACAGCTCAGCCGCCACTCTGCTTCTCCCCACGTTTGTCCTGGGGGTGTCCCGGTGTCCCCACGCCTCCTCCTCCCCAGCCACGTCCTCCCCTTCTCCCCGCAGGATGGCAGCTGGCAGGGCGCTGGAGCGGCTCCGTGCCACGGCTGCTCCCGCTGAGTCAGCGCCGGGTGAGGACGCCCTCCAAGGCAGCTCAGCGCTCACATGGGATTAAAACCATGGGGCATTCCTCCACGCCAGGCTGTGTCACGCAGCATGACTGCAACCAGTGACGTCCCGGCATGGGTGCTGATCCAGCCCGCAGTGCCGGCCAGGCAGCGCGAATGCACAGCCTGAGATGCTCACACCGCCAAAGCCAAAATGCCCCTGGACGTCCCCTGCGCACTGTGGGCAGAGGGGTCTGGTGCCCCGCTGGGGCTTTGGGGAGACGGGAAAATTCCCAGCCCTCCTGCGGGCAGGGAGCTGCCGCCCGGCTCCCCATGTGCCGCCAGCACAGGCAGCCGGCAGGGCCTGCTCTGATTTGGAAAACTCGCCTTGTTTCCCCACGCACCCGGCTGCAACCCTCCGCAATGAAGTTCAGCATACAGCAAAATAACCCAGATGGCACAAAGGGAAGTGACGGACCGGAGCAGGACCACCAAACCTGCGGCCACGTGGACCTGCTGGCCTGAACCCAGCCCCGGGGCAGGTCCGGGGGCTGCCTGTCCCACGGGAGGGGCAGATCCCGCAGTGAGGTCCAGCTCCGCGTGGAGCGGCCGAGCGCTTGGCCCATGCAGCACGGAGCTCGATTGCAGCCGTGCATTTTTCAAACTGCTCATGGAAGCAAGACAAGGAGCTGGCGGAGGGACAAGAGCCGAGCAAAGCACACAGAAAACTGCCAGAGGGCTGCCCCGCGCTTGGGCAATGGCAAAGGTGGATCCGCACGACGAGCTTGGCTGGAAGAACGCTGCCTGGTGCGGCAGGGGAGGGCAGGGCCCCCCCGGGGCCCGCCCACCCCGGCTGCGCACCCCACCAGCTGCCAAGCGTGCGCGGGGTGCAGGCAGCCGGCTGCAGGCAGCTGCCCGGGCATGTCTGGGCAGCCGGGTACTTTTGGAGCGGGGCGTTGGAGCCAGGCAGCGCCCCGGAGCCTCACCCTCCTCGGGAGCACCCTGGGACGTGTTTCTGGAGGGCAGCCCACCACGGGAGCGCTCCCCCAGCACCCAGCTCAGCACCTCTGCCGCTGCCCTGGGGACACAGGGACAGGGCAGGGACGGAGGAATGGTGTTTGGAAACAGAGGGACAGGTGGGTGCTGGCAGTGGCTCCGCTCTCACCTCCCACAGAGGCTCGGGGCTGGGCCCCCCCCTCGTGTCGCTTCGAGGAGCTCCCGGGAGCAAAATGCAGCCGCCAACAAGCAAAAAACCAAATCTGAGGCCAAATCATCCCTGGAAGTGCTGGGTGGAGGCGGCTGCAGGTGCCCGGCAGCGCCTGTGGAGCAGTGAGGCCAGGGCTCGGCACGGCTTGGGCAGCCCCAGGCAGAGGCACTCCCAGAGCCGGGAGCCCCCCCACCCCCCCTCATCTTGGCGCGTGCTAATTCCTGGCGGTTTAATTACGCCCCTTCCCATGCCGAGGCTGTGCCCAGCTTTGCAGTAGGGGAATCGTCCCTGCGCCATGTACCTGGACCTCAGAAAAGCCACCGCCTGCTCCTGCCTCAGTTTCCCCAGCTGTGGGCTCTGCAGAGCAGCTCTGCCAGGCAGGGGCAGCTTTCCAAGGGACTTGGGGACTCGATGGGGAAGCTCTCGCTGGGCCCAGCATCACCTTGCTCCCCGCTGCCCGTGGGCAGAGGGAAGGATGCTGCCCACACCCGGCTCTCCCCACACGTCTCCGCAGGCGGCAGCTCCGGGCCAGGAGCCGGGGAGGTGACAGATGGGGACATGCCGGGCGTGAGGCCTTTGTCTGCACGGTGGCGGTGATGTGGGGCGGCATGGACCCGCAGATGGCGGCTGCCAGCAGGGCCGGGGCCGCAGCCCGTGGCCAGGCGAGCGCCGGGCCCTGGGGATCCGGCCCTTTTGTCAGGGTCTCACCTCCGGCAGCGGCCCCTTCCCGGCTGCCCCCCACCAGCCTTTCAACTTTCAACTTGACCTGCTCCTTTCACATGGAAATGGAATGCAAATGGAGCTGGGGGGCTGCCAGGGGCCAGCGGCTGGGGCCCACCCCCCGGGTCCCCCCCACACAAGTCTGGGGGGTCATACCCACTCGCCTGGGGCGGCCGGTGGTCCCTGGGGTGGGGGGGTCCCCCTTGTCCCCCAGCAATGGAGCAGCAGCCTTCCCCTGCCCAAGAAGACCGTCCCCACTGCTCTCAGCTGAAAGCAGATATTAGGGGATGGC